TACCGCAACGTGCGAAACGACATCCAAGTCCCCCCTCTGCTTGATGACCTTGCGACAAATAGGGCACTCTCTCAACGAAATCACATGCTCCTTTTCTCCTGAATCCAAGGCTACCCCAGGTCGATCGGAATTGGTGCTTCTTCGTTTCCGAGATTTTGAGTGGTCCTGACAGACAATTTGTCCCGTCAGTTGCGCTTCGAGCACGTCGCACAGCTCGTCAAATGTTAGTTCTCCGTCTGGCGTTTTGTCCTTGGACATGAACATCATGTTTATGCTTTCATCGGAAAAGGTCGAGCCAAGACTGTCCAGCATCGTCGTTAATTCAATTTTGTTGATGCTGCCGTTTGAGTCCGAGTCAAACGTTTTGATCAGGGTCAGCCAAAAGTTACGTCGGAGTTCTGAGGTAGCGTGGGAGACCCAAGATCAACAACGGCACTTTCATATTCACGGGGTCCGCGGATACGACGGTGCATACCTTTGTATGGGATGAAATTGAATCTGATGGATAAGATGGCTTCCCCCATATCCTACAACGACATTGTAAGAATTTGAGCGGGCTTTCCCCAAAGGACGCCAAAATTTTATCATTAATGCCTTCCCAACCTTTCGCTTCAACTCAAGAGGAAGTTCGAGGGGTCTCAAATCCGGCAAGGCAGGCCTGCTGGCCTCCACTTTGAGTGGTACCATTTGCCCAATTAAATCGCGCAGTTTCACGTCCACATTGCCTATTCGATCATTATTGCTAATTTTGTCGTGATCGTATACCGAAAAAGATATTGGCCAGTCCGCCTGATACTCCACAAGTTTGATATGCCTGCAACGATAACTTTAGGGTCGAGGAAAGGTAAGTTACATGGAAACGCATGACGTACAGGAAAACTCGTTCGTGCCATGTTGGATTGCGTGTGTGGCGAATCGATTTGGTGCGAAACGTTTTCTTTCTAACCCGCATACGTTCATTCAGGCTTCTGATATCCAGGAACTTAAAATCGCCCAACCTACCCAAATCTATGGCAGGACAGTAATCAGTTAGGCTCAAGCTAGCCACCCAAAACTTGACAATAAACACTCACGAAATCACAACAAACGGATCGCAATCGAAGGTCGTCCGCGTGAAATCTTTTACATAGGGTAGATTCTGTGCTCCGATGACTTTCAGCGGCGTAAGGAGCTGTACCTACTCAATAGCCGCAAAATGACCTGCGACACAACACTCACTGTCTAAAGTGAGCAGCCCCATTAACTCATTATGGTCGAGGACATTCGCGTCTCCGTTGGGGCTGGATGATTCTACGGAATCCAAACTGGAGGCTGATGTCTCCCCATCTTCCACACCAGCAACGTAGTTGAAGTACACGTCGTCACATGGGTCGTCACTTGTCATTAATGTTGCTATGTAGAGACGGTACTGTCAAACGGGTGTGGTCAAGGGACACGGGAAGACATGGGTTACCATGCATGGTGCCACCGTGAACGGAAGAATCTTCCACGTTGATGTTTAGCAGCAAGTTCATATCTTCAATGTTGCCCACAAACCCAAGCTTCACGCATATATCCCCGGTGATACTTTCTTTGGTGCTGCGGGTGTTGAGAGGAAGCCAAACTGCCATGTTATTGGGATCGTCAAACACAGCAGCCCCAGCAATGGTTGGAATATCGGCGATTGGAATTGTAAGCTGCCCCAAAAAGTCCTTGCCAATCAGATCCTTATCCCACACGGTCAGACTGAGAGAGGCTAATAAAGAATAGGATGTTGGCTTATTATTCAAGGGTATCCAATGTCAAAGTCATGGTTCTTACCGTCGGACAGTATAGGTGTAATTGTGCTGTAAGGGCAACATGTATGCATGAGAGATTTGTTTTTTATTGAATCTGAAAACATAGGTCAGATCCTTACAAATCAAAGGTACTATTCCAGGTTGGATTCAAGTTTTTAGAAACGACGGGCGTTCTGAGTACTTGGTCCCCAAGTTTGCATATGACAAATGGGTCACTGGTCCCATTTCTGTCTCTGGCAACCAAGTCCTTTGCCTCTATGACTACGGCAGTGCGTGTCATTTGCATAAGTGGTGCGCAGAACGAGGTTCTTCTCGGCAAGTCTTTAATGCAACCCCACCTTCGACCCTGAGCACGACGGACTTGATTGGGTTTGACATCTGGACAGTTGAGTGAAGGTTCGAAGATAGAAATGGGGATTTCCACTTTTTCGGAGGTTACGTGTTTGTGTTGGGTGTTCCCAGAAGGCTCTTTATGTGTGTCGGGGTGGGGGCAGTCGTCATTCAGCAAAGAGTGCGCAACGTGTGCGAGTTTGGGAGAGGGGCCAAGAGCGAGTAGGGTATCCGACGCAGGTTCCCGGTGGACCCGGGTGGCTGTGGTGGGCTTAGGCGGGCTTCGATAATACTCCCAAGCCTCAAAATAAATGAAGGCTTGCGCGCGCCAGACCAACTTGGCCTGGGTGACCAACCCGCTTTTCCCACCCCTTGCCCTTTTCCTATCTACCGGTACTTAGTTACCTACAGTGCAGCGGGGGAAGCAGCAGCACTGAACAAACTGGCACAACTCTCCTGCCCCGCGCCTGTTTTGCCATACTCTTTCTTCTCCCGCCAGAATCGAGAGCACCGAAACTCTGCCAAAGCGGCGACATGCCACGCTTCTCACGCGCGCTCATCGCGTCGCTCGGGGTCGCCCTGTCGTTGTTACAGACAAGTCTGGCCTACACGGAAACTCTGGTGTGTATCTGGATCCTATTCATGGCAGCTGGACCTGGCACGCTCTGACCCTTATAAACGTCAAATATGTCAGACACCCAGCCAAATACAAAAATGTCAGGGAATGTGGGGTCCCAAGGATATTCCGGGGCATTCCAATGACAACGGCACTTTCACGATAACATTTAGAAAAGTGCGGGCCCCTTTAATCCTCTCCGTTCTAGTCTACAACTACTTTGATCAGGATTTGCTGGAAAAGACGGATACGAACCGTATCATAGTTTGCGGTGATGGGACAGCGTTGGAAGCGGGTCGATGCAAATCAGATGATCGTGGGAAGTTCCTGATCAAAACCGGGACACCACACTCACCGATCTTCAATCCTGTGGAACACTTCACTCACTCAGTTGACTCGGCAAATGCGAAGGATACTCGCAAACTAGTATACTCCGTCACCGATACCGGGTTTTACTGCGTTATTGCTGTGCCGGTCGCACCAATGGACACTGTCGACGCGGGCGAGCCAGACTTTGTTGTGGATGTGAAGATTGAAAATCCTTACGGATCCTTGCCTGCTATGGACTACGTCAAATTACCCGTAAGACTTCGGGAGATGATGGCCGACATGGTGGGCTCCGTGTAGGACAGTGGCGATTGACTCAATTCCTATCAGCTATTTGGCGTACTCTCGGTGATCTACTTGGTAATCGGGGTCGTATGGATGGTTGCTTCTTTCCTCCATTGGCGAGATTTGCTTCCCATTCAGCACTACGTTTCCGCCGTGACTATCTTTTTGACTACAGAGATGGCTTTCAACTACGTAAGCCAGGGGAATTCAACTTCAGCAGTCGTATGGACTGTCCCAATTCGGCGATTACCCTAATATTCTTACCGACAGGGATATTATGAAGACTACAATCGTTGGGGGAGAAGTTCTGCCACATTGTTGGTTTTGGTCGTAGTGCTGAATGCGGCGCGAAACACCGTGTCATTCTTAATGCTTCTCATTGTGTCGCTTGGATATGGAGTCGTAAAGTGAGATCACGCAATTTCGGGCAGTTTGAGTGTTTCATTTGTCCTAAAACGAGAGGGAACCGGCCAGACCATCATTGGGGAGCACGATGAAAAAGTGTCTCTATCTCTCTTATACCCACTTCGTGTTTGGCGTTTCCTACGCTGCGGCCTCCATGTTGGTCACGGAGGTGACGGGACAGATAATAATTCTTTTTGCATTCCCACTGGCGGCCACCATGACCGCGTTTTACTTTTGGATTTTACAAGGTAAGGGTCAGCTCCTTAAACGTGCCGCATTGTGTTTCTAAGCGCCACTCCAATCCTGCAGGCTTGCAAGAGACCATGGGACACCTTGAGGCGCGCCGTCAGGGAGTTAAACTACGGATGTATACGCGTACGTAAGGGGTTTTCATGACCTTCAAATTGCTTCGCTGCCTTGTTAATAGCCGTCGTTTTTCAGGATTATGGCAATTGCTGGTATTTTCCGTTGCGATCCTGGTCATCTTTTTTATCATCAATACCGTAAGTTCGCCGCGAAAAAACCATGGGTATGTCCGAATCAGCCACGCTGACCAGATATGTATGAACAACAGGTGAACTTCTCCTATCGGAACGACCCTGACTGGCTCCCCGTCAACTGGCGATTCAGATGGTTCCTGCTGGACGGATGGTTGAATATCCTTTACCTAGTCGTCTTTATTGGCATCATCATTCTGTGGCGACCCACAGAAAACAATCAGCGATATGGGTTAGATGAACTGGCTCAGGATGATTTTGATGACGACGACTTGCGCGGGATCGGAGGGGGGGTTGGACGTCAACAAATAAAAATGCGGAATGTCACCGGAAGAATGGGGGATGAAGAGGATGGGAATGAGAATGGAATTGATCCAGATGAAGATGAAGACGTCCTCAGATGGGTTGAGCAAAATGTTGGAAATGCGGATTCCTCTGAGGATGTTTTGTAAGTATTTTCGGGGGGAGGCAGGGTTTCATTTGATGTGATATGATTTGTTGACGTTGTTTGTCGGCAGATTCGCGGCCGAGGACGAGGAACACAGGAGGTTGATGGAAAGGGAGCTACAGAAGATGCATTAGGATCTAATAATTTAAGACAATGTAAATACTGTTTATACGACGCCGGCTCATGGAAGGGGTGAAAAACCAGAAAGGCAGATTACGAAGAACAGACAGAATACGAAGGCTGCGGCAAAGCAAAACATTCCTCGTCCACCAACAAAAACGACAGACTGCGAAAGAGCAAAAAATATCGTGTAACGAGCACGGTGGGACTCGAACCCACAATCCTCAGATTCCAATCCAAATCGTACCTTAGAAGTCTGATGCCTTGTCCATTAGGCCACGCGCCCCTTAAATTGAATGGCCTCAAAGATTACCATTTTCAGTTTGATTCTGGCGTGGCACCCAGAAAGAGGTTTTATCTGCAGAAACAATCTTCCTCACCAACCTCCACGTCCCTTGATTCGCATCAAAGCTCTCTCTAGCAGATGAACAGATTTCGGCCCAACGCGAGCCAACCTGGCATGGGAATGTTGCCAAGCACGGGTCGGACACAACCTCCGTGTCCTTTCTCCATAGCGAAGCGGGGTCGACCCGACGACCAGCTGCAGGGACGCGAATTTGTTTGTGGCACAGTCTTTGTGTCAGGCCCGCGATACGGCAGGGCGTCGCCTGTCCTCCACTACTCCCCACCACCAAAACACCTCACCAAAACACCTCACCAAAATGCTCGCCGAACCGCACGAAGTCATCCTCGTCACCGGCGGCACGGGTCTCGTGGGCTCCGCCATCCGCCACATCATCGACACCTCTCCAGACCCGCGGTACGGCAAACGGCCCAACGAAACCTGGGTCTTTTGCACCTCGCGCGACGCCGATCTGCGCGATTACGCACAGACGAAGCGGTTGTTTGAAACCCACCGCCCGACGAGGGTTATACACCTTGCGGCGCTGGTGGGTGGACTGTACAGGAATATGAAGAAAAAGGCGGAGTTTTATAGGGATAATGCGGTGATGAATGATAACGTTTTGCATTTGGCGTATTTGATGAAGGTACTGTGTGTGTGTGGGGTGGAGTGTGTGGGGTAGAGTGTGACTGAAACGTGGGATGATTGGAAAGGTGAAGAAGGTTGTGTCGTGTCTTTCCACGTGCATTTTCCCGGATAAGACGACGTACCCCATCGACGAGACCATGATTCATAATGGGCCGCCGCATGAGTCGAATTTTGGGTATGCGCATGCAAAGAGGATGATTGATGTTATCAACCGGTAAGGAACTATATGCTTGTTGCTTGTCAATGAATAGTTAATGAATTGAGACCGCGACTTGGTTGTTCAGAGCGTACCGCGACCAGTACGGATGCAACTTCACCTCAGTGATCCCCACCAACATTTTCGGGCCGCACGATAATTATAACTTGGAGGATTCGCATGTGATTCCCGGGTTGATTCACAAATGCTACCTTGCAAAAAGTAACGACTTGTGCATCTCTCTTTCTTTTCTTCCCTGACATTCTCTAATTGTTTCATAACAATGCAGCAAACGGAACCCCCTTCAAAGTCTCAGGAACCGGCACACCCCTCCGCCAATTCATCTTCTCCCACGACCTCGGCAAACTCTTCATCTGGGCCCTACGCGAATACAACGACGTGGAACCCATCATCCTCTCCGGTATCTCCCCCTCCCTTCCTTCCCCTGTTTGTTTACCCCCCTCTAACACCACACACCCAGTCCCAGAATCATCCGAAATATCCATTAAAGACGTTGCGGAATCCATCGCGCGGACCATCTCGTACCCTGTGGAGAAGATTGTGTGGGATAAGAGTAAAGCCGATGGGCAGTACAAGAAGACAGCGTCAAATGCAAAGTTAATGGGGTTGGTGCCGGAGTTTGTGTTTACGGAGTTTGATGAAGGTGCGTGTGGATGTGTTTGTAAGTGGAGGAGTTGTTAACGTTTGATTGACGTCGTTTCTTTGTGGGTTGACATAGCTTTGAAGATTTCGGTGGATTGGTTTGTGAAGAATTATGACGTTGCGAGGAAGTGACGAGGCTAGGATGCATTTCTTGTTTTGTGGAGCTGGCACGTGGATCCCCTGTACACTACAACATGCAAAACACCACCATGCAAAACACCACCAATGCCTTCGTTATTGGACATCACAGTCTCTGTTTGGGTTTCGCCTTCGACTGCGGGCATTTGGTGAACAACAGTCCGAACACTTACAGCTACTTTTCACTTGGGAAAATGACGACCACGGTGCAGAAAGCAAAAAAAAAACTATTCACTTAGCAAACAGCTGGCTGCCTGACAGCATTGGGTGGGCCAGACCAAATCATCGGTAGGTACTCAGTTAGCCGCAGGTGGGGCAAACTGCATCTGTTCGTCCGCGAGACAGTGGTCCTCTGTCTGCCTCTGCGGGGGTTCCGATTGGCGGGGAGGAGTGTACGTTCGGTGGGGTTCCATGTATAGAGGCCGCTTTGCAGTATCCTTGGAACCTCCGTCTGCCTCTGCGGGCGTCCAATCAATGCTAGTATAGATTCATGTGTTGTTCTGAGCTCCAATGCTATGGTCACCTACCATAGTAAAGTATTAGGCGTTTCAAGAAGCGTTCCTTGGGTGGAAAGCATTTAACTCCACCACTAAGCTGTATGGCAAAAGAGCAGGGCCAGACGAATACCGGCAGATTGACTTGATCACCAAAGTAAGTAGCGTCCCCAATCTACATTACCTAATTGATTTGGCAACCGTTGACGGTTCACGATCACATACCCTTCCGCACTCCCATCTCCGGCGCAATCCCTGCCGACCGGAGGCATCGGAGCAGTCTGACGATGAATCTTCTGAGGGTTCTGGCAACAACGACATTTCTCGTTGCTCCTTGTTTTCAGACTTGACGGTGTACCTTCTGGAGGTGCTGGTGGCGCCGGACTTTCCGCGTCCAGAGAGAGGAAACTACGCATGGGGGCAAAAGACCCATCCGAGCAGCAAGCTCACAGCGATGCGTCCAGAGGCAAAGACGGTGACAAAGCTGGCGAGCCTAGCCGACATGTCCAAGAAGTGACAGACACGACGCACGCTATAGGGTTACCCTAGACAGCTACTACGACTTGCATGGTTTCACTAAGACGTGGCGGCATCAGCGGAAGAGAAATGGCCGAAGAAGGCGCCTGAGGTTAGGGTAGCCGCGGTGACCGACGCCAGCGGTGTCATGACATTTGCGAGATCAGGCCCAACACGATTCACCAACCCCGCAACCTCCGACTGGTCCCTCAACTACAACTCACCAGCCCTGCCATAGATGCTCTGTCATGGGAAACTTACCAGTCGCCCTTCAGCCACGATACCTTTGAGAGGTTTGGTGATGGTTTCCCTGCCGTTTGTTTTCAAATGTGAGGTTGCGCTCGGTGCCGCCCTCGTCTCCCACAACTCGTGGACACAACGCTGGGCCGGTCAAACAACTACGAAAACAATCGAGACTTTGCACTCTGACCATTCGGCGAATACCACACCAGCGAAGTGTGTTCCATCGGTGTCCAGGGTTCTTGATCAGTGAAAAGAATGCTCTGAGGACTTCTGTGGATGAGGTCCGAAGATTTGTCGCAATCTTCACGAGGCAAATCTGTCCCTATCGGATGTGCCTCAGGTCCAGAACCAGCACAAAGTCGGAGCAATGCTCGCAGACGGAGACTCTAACGCGGCATAGAACGTCTGTACATATCGATGTACAACGAGCATGATGGACAGCGACTGGGAACCCCTGGTTACACGGAGGTGACATAGTGTAGTGAGGGGTAGCCAGGTATAACCCCCCTCACCCCTCATGTAAGTCCTTAGCGGCATCCCCTCTCTCAGAACTTGTCCTGGTAATGTTAGTCGTCTGCGGAACTGTCGACGGAAGGGTTTTTCTTCTGGTGTGTGACGAAGCATCCATGATACAGGCCATCAAGGCGGGATATCGGGTGTGCGGAGAGACGTAACAGTTGGGTCGTACCCGCCACTGTATTCTTGTTAATAAACTAGTCTCATTATCACACCGATTCGCGGAGCCATTGCTTCAATTCAGCCATTTCACCCAGTAGTCGCATTCCGTGTCCAAGAGACAAATTGCGAAAGGCTTCATCTACACCGGTGGCATCATACCTCCTGCCTGTTGCAAAGGGACAAAGTTTCAAGACGAGTAACATCAATGACGGAATGATCCATAAATGCATCACCGCGTCGCATACCTTCTAAAGCTTCTATCAATCGCATTGCGACCGCAACATGCCCTGCTGCACCTATTGTCACTGTTGCTTCGGTAATAATGCTATGATTTACCCGTAATATGATGTCCTGAGATTTCGGACAAGGCAAGGGTTTAACGCTCCCTTCCCCGAGCGTGGGAAAGAATTAAAGGCATGGAGAACTCACAACGTCGCCCCATGAAAACGAATGTCGCAGTTGGTGGGTAAATTCAGGTGTTTGTCCGTATAACCAATCCCACGTCTTCAAATATAATGCGTATCAAAGACCTCGTCCAGCGGGACGAAAAGTCATCAGCTTTTTACCCGCAGGTCATCGTAGCAGTTGCGGATGCTTGGATCGCTGTCGAATAAATCCATAGACAGTTCCACTGGCTAATAATCCAAAAATGAAAAATAGAGAGTACAAACACGATTATGTACAAAACATTCAGTTCTTCACCTTCAACTCAGGAATTCCATGAACTTTCCCGAATTCTTCAGTAACGGCTTCGCAAAATGATAAGTGGTCTACCGTGAATGAGTATTCGCGAAGACGAGTTACGGGCGATCGGACGCTATCTACGCCTTTGCCGACCAGGTTTTTCTGCAATCGTAAAGGCATGAGGACAGGAAAGAAACCGCCATACCGGGCATTGTGGCACCTTCGGTGGTTTTAAATAGCGGCCTAATGCTGATAAATCGGCGTCAATTAACATGGTACCGTGGTGGTAGGCTCGGTCGCTCACTATCTTGTATGCCGAACCAGATATGTTCACATTGGTCAAGGACACAGCATTGTACGAGACGTAACGATTATAAGACAAATGACAAAAGTTGAGGATATCTTTGAACCGTCCACAACCAAATCATGACGTTGGTTGACGGACGCCGGAATATCTAGCTGATGCAACGCACGCCCAACAAGCTCCGCATTTTTGCGGCGGTCGAACTCTTCTCGGGGCATAACAATTGTGTAATTCGTATTACCAATGTCCTAACGAGGGTCTCTCCTATCATTCATCATGCCACCAGCGTCAGTTTAGGGCGGTCTTCACGTACGTGATACACGGTTCCACCGCCGCTTTTTCTACGCACAAGAGGCACCCCCTCCTTTCGCATTAGCTT